GTAGAGAGCTGCAGTACGATGGTGTGCTGTTACACTGCGTGAGGCCTCAGCTCCACATTGGGCTCTGATTGGGCCTGTAAGATCACAGTCATCCCCCCCTTTCACCCTCCCCTTCCTCCTCCTCCTTCTCCTCCTCCTCCTCATCCTCCTCTTCCTCCTCCTCCCTCAGGGTCTCTCTCCCCACATCCTCCCTGTTGATTATCACTGCTGCCAGAGCTGACTCTTGCACTCCAGCTGCTGTCCACACTCTGGCTCTGGGGCTAATTTATCCAGGCTGCATGGAGGGAGCAAACTTTCTCACACCGCGTTAAGAAGCCAAGCTGCTGCTCAGCAAACAGCCAGAAAAGGTTGATGCAGAATCTGCCACCACTGCCGCTTTTCTCTCTGCTCCTGAGGAGTTTCAAGCGGCATCCAGAAATGCAAACGCTCCCAACAGGGTCACGGCCGTCTGCAGTTGCAGCCGTTCGTGGGTGCAGACCGACATGTGTTGCTCTCTGCAGGTGTTTCCGGAGCAGATTGTCACGTCTGGCTGTCCTAAGGGCAACTCTCAATGTGAAACCCAACTCATAACATCTTAACATAAAACACACATTGAATATCTCAATAGCTACTGTATATGAACACACTTTTTTTTTTACTCTTTGAACGAAGAGGCAAAAAAAAGATGTTTTTCTTTTCTCTTTATTGAAAAAGTAAAAAGTGCTGGAATATCTTGAAATCACTCAAATTTCTGCATTAGCCTATTTCAAGTTCTCGTTATTTGATAAAAGCAGACTCTGAATAATTCCCTCAAGCACTGACATAAGACAGAGCTGTGAAAACATCAATTTGACTTTGTGCGGCTGTGGAGGGGGGTGGGGGGACATAGCAATTGACCAGTCAAACAAGTGACTTTAGAGCGTTACAAAGGAGGTGGATCTCAAAGGAGACGGGAGGGAAAATAAAATGCAGCCCACGGCGCGGGTTCATCTCATCGAGAGCGACTTTTCACATCCACAATAAATCCCAAGTGACATATTTTGACTTTCAAAATATAGTTTATGCTCATCATGTACAAATATTTTAGGTTACATTTGGATTTAATTCCATGTGACAACCCACAATTCAAACAATATGCAGTCTATAAACATTAGGTCTGCCCTCTGCTCTGCTGCATATCCATGAGCCACTGGGATGTGGAGGTGAGGGAGTCTCAGAGAAAAGCCCAGTTTTTCTTTTTTCATTTTTTTTTTTTTTTTGGAGTCTTTAGCAAAGCAGCAGTATATCAGTGTTGACGGGAGGAGTCCTCTGTCAGCCTCATGTGTCTTTCTCCCGGGCTGTCCTGAGTCGCACGTTTGGACAGAGAAGACAAGACAAAAGCCTTGCCTCGGGTCATCAGGCTGTAAAACAGCGCCTTCTTATCTTCATCGTACGGACTGTGTGGTAACAGGAACTGTACGAGCTGCAGGTGTCTTTCTACTGTGTTGCTGCACCTCCTATGTGTAAAATTAGTATGAATGTGCATTAACATCTCCCTACATGTGTTAAGTGTTCTTGTGCGATGCCTCGCCTGGTGTCTTAAACAGTGCAGCAGGAGGCAACAATTGATTAAATCAAATTTCTGCTCAGAGGAAGAGCTCAATTATGGCATTAAGCTATAATCCCATGCAGTCATGAACTGAGGATGTTACAATTTTACACGAAAAGAGAACCAAGCCACAGTTCAGTCCTTTATCTTCTTCAGTGCAGGTGGGATGCTCCTGATGTCTGTTTCAGGCTGAAATGCAGCAGCTGCAGCTCAGGTGTTGGATTCTGCTGTGTGTGGTGATTCTTGAAGTCCCGACTCCAGCTGCTCTTTGCTTTGTGATTCTCCCCCAAACTCTTGAGTTGGTCCTCAGAATCCTTTCAGTGAGACTTTTTCCTTCCACTTAACTTCTCATTAATGTACTTACATGCAGGACTTAATGAACAGTATTTTCTTTTTTTTTTTTTTTGCTATTATGTTTAACTGCTGGGCAACTGTAAATCAGCAGTATTCCCATTGACTATTATGAATTATTACATGATTACAGAGCAAAAAAAAAATCCATGTTAAAAATCTGTTTTTATTGCCTTTATGTCTAAGAGATGCAAAATATATGGTTTTATTAGCTAGAAGACAAACTGAACAGAAATTAATGCTTTAAATGTATCATTTTGAAAATAATAAATCTATGAAGTGCGAAGATTTATTAATTTAATTTGATTATTGAAACTAATAAACTTTACAGTCATATTCCATAGTCAAGTTTCCTTCATGGTGAACAGTAGCCATAGAGGCATAGATATGAGTGAGACCTAAAAATACAGACAGGAAGTTCACAGTAAGTAACTTACAAACCAAAACAGTGATAGCAAACACACCCAGCTTAATAATAATAATAATAATAATAATAATAATAATAATAATAATAATTAATGAATAAAGAAACATAAATAAAGTACTAGAAGCAAACTCAGAAACACTGGCAACAAAAGCTTTTTGGTTTTTGTTTGCAAATGAAAGATACTTGTAAAATGTTTCATATGTTGCTTTTATTCAACTTTCAAGTACAATTTAAATATTAGCAGTGTTGGCACTCCAAGTATTCAGACTTTACGTACATAAACATGAAGAGGCCTGGACTGTCAGTTTTCAAGCCTTACAGTAACTGTGAAGAAACTCATTATTGATGCTATGTATGTGTAGAAGCAGCACCAGTTAAGCGCAATACATTCTACATTATGCTTTGTTTTTATTTGTTTGTCCAGACTACTTTTATTTCCTGTATCATTTATAACACAAACATAAACGCAAAAAAAAATAAAAATTCTTCCTTAAAATGTTTACAGAACCATTTTGGTGGAATAAATGTTTTTCTCTGACCACAAACATGCACACAAGCATTTTTGGAGAAATATGGACAGATAAGAAAAACATCTGAGTTCAACATGTTTCATTTTTAATCATGTCGAATAATTGATCTCATTCTGACATACATGCCTCTCATCTGGTTACATTTGAGAATGCAGCTCTCTAACAAACATCTACTGCATGAATCATACTTTTCACTGGAGCCATCTGAGGCTATTCTGCACGCAGAGAGATACCATCTTGGTCTCAGAAGGCAATTAAAAAGAAATTAAGTCAAATTACGTCTAATTTTGTGTCGTCTGCTGCATTCTGTGTTTATTTTGAGCAAGGTTCCTCGGAAACTCCCAGGTTTTAATTGCGCCGAATGCTTATTTTAGCCCGCCTTTCCATGCGCTTTACGAGAGTGCATGCACGCTGGCAACAACGATGCCAGTGTGGCTATTTCTGCCTGCACGTCCACTGATCTGTTGCACGAATAAATAATTCCGCTCAGGTCAAGCCTCGATGCTCTGATACGGCCTCTCAGGATGACCGGCCGCAGCAGGAAAACCAGTAGATTGAAAATGAGGAATGCATCCAGGGGTGTGCTGTTTACTTGCAGCATGGGCAGCTGATTAGCCGGCCCCTCTGCCGGCTCCAGCCCCCTCCCTCTGCTTTTCAATTCCACCCAGGCCCCAGGCTCGGCTGCTAACCGAGGGCTGGAATATTGTGCACTGGGGATCAATGCACAGTGAGTGAAATGTCAACTACGGCCCTGCAAAGTGTCAGGCTGTGAGGGAGTTGTAATGGCTATTGATCCACTGTGCGCTTAATGCAGAGCTGCCCCGCCACGGCGTGAGCCAGCTGCAGCGGGGAGATATGTATGAGATGAGCTAAAACTGAGAAAATGGAAAAGAAAGAGCCCACAGTTTCATCCCCCCCCCCTCCTCCGTCCCTCGCTCCATCCCTCCCTCTCTGGCTGCAGATTGATCTTCCTCTTCCTGCTGATTCTAACTGGGGTCTGTCATTATTTTACTCTGTCATTAGGGGCTCCATTGACAGCCTTGGCCTGTCTGTGCCACTCTATTGAGACAGCAACACTTTTCCCATGCGGCGTTCCCTACATTTATTAAAGTCCCTGACAGCCTTGTCTCTATAGATGGCTGGGCTTCAGGTCGCGCTGCAGCGATGTAATTGGAAGACGAGTCTCTCTTTCTCTCTCTCTCTCTTTCTTTCTCTCTCTCTCTCTCTCTCTTTCTCTCTCTCTGTTTCTCTCTCTTTCTGTTCCTAGCTTGTAATATCTGGGAGGTACAGCTGTAGGTCAGACTGGTTTACATCAGACTGCCGGTTAAGAAGAGAAAAATCAGACCACCTCTGTCTGAGGGTCAGTGTCTGTGCTGCCAGAGGCAAAGATGTGGACCCTGCAGTTACGCCTCCATCTAGGAATCCCGCTCATAACTTTTAAACTTTTACTTTTTCTTTAACTAGAATACGCTTTGTGGTTATTTTAGAATAAAACATAGTCTTTTATGTGCATGTGTCGGCTCGGTGTCTTTGTATTAAGACTTTTTTTCTCCCCCCTCTCTGCTGTTGCAGCTAAAAGCCACATCTGAGAGATGTTAAATTCATTGCGTTGCTGCACAATAACACGAGGCAGACACCAAGAGTGGTAAAATACCTGCATGTAAAACTTATTTCAGCACACATTATATCATTTAATGCTGACAAGTGATGATGTGTTACTAAAGAAAACACAGTAAATTTTGCAACAGAGGGATCTGAGAGGACAGACTAGTTCTATAAAATATTCGATTTAACTATTAAATTGTCTTTTTTCTCCTTGTATGTTTATACTAAAGTTATTACACTTAAAGGATACTCTAAGGAGGGACTAGTTATTATTATTATTATTATTATTATTATTATTATTATTATTATTATTATTGGTTTTCAGGCTCAGGAGGAGCTTCTGTATGAAAAAGTTTCTGATTATTACAATGTGTTTGAATGTCGAAGGCTGTATTATAAATTTTGCCTGTTTGACAGCCCATGTATGAACATTAACTTTCTATTTTATTCAGTTAAACTTGGATTTTTTGCCAGATTTATCTGTAGATAGACAAATAAACACAACACTTGTAGACACAAGTTTTTTTTTTAAATCTAATCCTTTTTCTTATTTTGAAGTCTTAAGCAATTTTTGAATAAAAGTAAAGGGGTTTCAGACCACTTACGAGGTACAAGGTGGCCAGCTGGGTTTTTCATTCCTTTTGGTGTCAAAGTCCTTTTCTGCATATGTATTGGTCGATTTGCTTAGTTTAATTATACTTCCCTACTTTAAGCAAGGAATTATGCAGATTTGTTTGTTTGCAGGGACAGAATCTGATTTATTCAGTGACTCTGTACCTCAACATAAAAACATGAAGCTGGAAGAGGAGCTGCAGGTCACACTTTTAAAAAGCATATAACATGCTTTTAAAATGTTAAATTGTTAAGATATCAATAAATGGCTGTTTGTGTCAGTATTCCATAAGCACTTCATAAAATTAAATGATATTGAACGTCTTTTCACAGTAGTTAGTCCATTCAGGATTTTGTGAATGTTTGTGGGGTTTTTTGTTTTGTTTTTTTGTTGTTGTTTTTTTTTTTGTTTTGCAGTCAAAATCACAGATTTTGTTATGCTAATTTAGAAATGTTTGTAAGGAATTTCTTTGATACTTTTGCTAATGTATGATACAAAATGTGACTTTTATTACTCGCCATATCGGTCACGGACTACAGTTTGACATCAAGTAAGGCTGAGGCAGCAGTCACTTAAACTTTTCGGACAATTTTAAGAAACATTTTCAGTAAAAATCAGAAAAAGAATGTGGGGATCGGTTGATTTTGTATGGATTTTCCATGAATTTTGGAGATTTGTGAAAAACTGGAGGGACTAATTGGTATAATTTGGAGTCTAAAGTGCCACATAAAAAGCTATGGTGGGCCAGATTTGGCCCCCGGCTCTTGAGTTAGACACATGTGCTCTGGATCACATAATACAGAAAAACAGAGTTTTAATCTGAGTACTGAATATTTGCACACAACATTTGAATGAAAAGGATTACATGAGGTGCAGAATTGCGCTCTACTGTAATCCTATATTTATTTCAAAGTCGTAAATTTTATTGCTGGCAGACAAGGGTACAAAATTGTACTTTTAATGATGGTAAATTGGAAAACTGAATTTTTGTTTTGGCTGACTGAGGGGCTGGGGGATTTTATTTTTAATCCCATTTTAAAGGTTAATTCATGTTTCATGGTGAATTAAATTTTATTTTATTGCATGTTACACTGTTACAAAATACAATAACTCAGCAAATACAATCCCAGTTGCAGCTTGAACTGTTCTCGGCTTAATTGTGTTGCTTTTACGGTCTGGAAAAATGAATCCAGTATTGCCTGGATAAATCCCGATTTGGCAGAAGTGTAAAAAAAATAAATATTAAATTCAGTGTTAGGATTAAATGAACCGTGAACTGAGATGGTTTGAAGCTTGTTGTCACATCTTCACCTCGTTTGAACCCAGTCCTCATGAGCCCATAGAGGTTCACAACAATGTTCTGCTTAAAGGCTGAAATGTGAAAAGGGACCTCATGGTCAGCTGATGAAAAACCTCCACCTCTGATTTAACGCTGACCTTTAAAAGCAGAGGTTCTGTTTGGCCTTTATGCTGAAAACAGAATACATTTCTGTCAGTGTTGGGAAAACAGAGAGTTGAGCTCTCTCTTGTCATCGCCTCAGGGGAAAAAAAAGAAGAAGAAAATAACTTCCTTCATCTTCTTTTCATCCTCCTAATAATTTTCCAGCTCGCTGCTGTCAGTATAAATAAACCTGTTTGCAAAAACTTGTTTGTGCTCAAAAGTCTCAGCGGCTGCTGCTGCTGCTGCTGCTGCAATTGACAAACACCTCAGAGCATGTTTGCTTCTGTGACAAGGTGGCCAAACAGTTTAGATATTACTCCCTGGGTTTCTGTGTGAACAACTAAGAGAGAGCAGCAGCTGAAAGGGGCTGATAGATGCAGCCCAAACAGCCTTTACATGGCCTCCATTTCTGATCACATGATTATTGTTTTGCTGTGTTCTCTGCACCCCGGAGTACGACTGTGGGGATCTGACAAGTTGAAAACATTTCAGGAGGCTGTCAGGAAGTTCACAGTGGGGTGCGCTGATTTCAGATTGGAGGTTTTAGAGGGGCTTTGTGTGCGTGCACGTCTGTTTGTGTGCGACGCAGAGTTCAGGCTGTTGGTGGGACCGAGCTGCTCCTCCGTGTCACAAGAGCCACAATCAAGCAGGACCGGGGGGTCTCGCGCTGTCTTGGCGCCGTAACACAGAAGGCGGCTCAATGGGACGGAAGTTATTGGGGTGGGAGGGTGAAACCGATGACACGGTTCGTGACGTCGGCTTGTCATTTCGGTGTGATACGAGTGTTTTGATCTGAAAGGCTGCAATGTAGCTCAGCTTGACTGGGACGATTTGCTCCAGGCGGACGTGTGTGAGGGGCCAGCGGCGTCACATGTGTGAGGAAGGAAAACTGGTGGGTTGGAGAGGCGGGGTAAACGTGAGAAAAAAAAAAGATGCAGCAGGTTCTTCTTGTGTTCATGTTTTGTCTCCCAAATCTGGAAATCTTCAAAACAGAAGGATGTAATCGCTGCTGAATTATGATGGCTACTGGATCTCTTGAAGTTTTTCCACATATCATCACATTAAAACCAGTGAGTTTCTGTTTATGTTCATGGTTGTGATGGACCCACACAATGCAGCACATCACTCTGAAGTGGAGAGAAATGGCCATTCTCATGTGACCAAGTTCCTCCTAACATGGGTTTTCTTCATAGATCATCCTGCATTTAGCTCCATCCACTGAAGATTTCTCATTTCTGCACGAGAAAAGCGTCCCCACACCACGATGCTTCCATCACCATGTTGAGCTCAAGTTGATTTGCATCGACAGTTTTCCCTCACATACACGTTTCAATTTGGTTTCAACTGGGCAGAGCGTCTCCTTAAATGAGCCTAGATGTCTTTCTTTCCATCAAGCTTTTCTTCTCACCAGTCTGCAATAACAAAACTGATTTGTGGAGTGCACAGTTTATATGTATCTGAGCAAAACAGTCTCCTGTGTTTTCTGTAGGTCCTCCATGTTTACTGTGGGCCTTTAAGCTAATTCTGCTTTAAATTTCTCAAATTTTCTGCTTCTAAGGTGGACTTCTTATGGCAATTGGGCGTAGTGGGTTTCATTCGGTGCTCTGCGAGTCACAGGGAGCAGAAGACAAACAATTGTCGCAGGTACGAAGTATTCTCATCAAAAAAATTAAAAACCATGCATCATTTTTCTTTCACTTCACAGTTATTCTTTGTGTGGTTTTGTCACTTAAAGTCCCAGCAAAATGCATTTAAGTGCACTATGCACCTCTCTTCTACTTTTTTGTTAACAAAAAACAACAACAATGTTTAACTTGCATTTAAAAGAAACATATGCATCTCTCTGTCCCATATCCCTTACGCTGGAACAGAATTGACATTTTAAAGTATTTTCAAGTTCTTTTATTTGTTTTCCGCCCCAAAAAAAATGTAGACGTTGACAGATGGAGCGATGCCTTATTTACGGAAAGAATCCAAATGGTTTAATGCACTCCACAGTCCTGTCATCTCCATGTTCTTTGGAATAAAACATGCTCTTGAAGATGAAGGAAAAGCACAAGAACAAAATTATTCCTCAAGCTTTCCATCAAGCCTCTGCATTCATGGCAAAGTCTAAAGGGCATGTCAGTCTCGCTGCCTCTGAGAGAGATAATTATCCTTTTCCTGTCAGAGAACAACAAATGATAGCCAACTATGGGGGTGCATTTTCAGGAGCTGAAATTCGTCAATAGGAAGAAGAAGAAGGAGGTTTAATTTTTTTGGCAGCTGCACATCTACCTTCTTCTTTTTTTGTGGTCATTTGTTGCTTCCCCTCCCCTCACCCCTCTCCTCCATCCCTTCTCTCTCTTCTTGTGGACTAGCTCAGTGGCGTGCTGTTTGTTTATGTCTGCGAGCTTCTGAGGGTGTATTTATGTGGCCCTGCATTAACATACCTATTTATAGTCCTTCACTTTCTTACAGTCATCTTTTTTTTCTGTTGTGACCATTTCACAGATTATATATTGTCCAAGTAATTTCCCTTTCAGCATCTGTGTTTTTTACCTTTCAGGGAACGCAGTGAATGGAGGGAAAATTATCACAATTACTCATATAATTGAGCCGTCTTTGTAGCAAGTGCGGCTCCAGTAGCCCCCTTTTTTCCATCAGCCCAAAATGGTTTCATTATATGGGTTTTTCATATTCCCTGACACGGGGCTCCGCTGAGGGCCTGGCGCGTGGATGAGATGCAGGATGAACAGAGCGAATCATTAAGGTCACAGTAGGAATAATTATCCCAGCTATGGAAAGAGCATCTACAGCCCCCTTTTTTCTCCCGCGGCACAAATGCAATGTCCACGGCTTTTAGTCACAAAGAACTTTGTTACAAATGGAGCTTCCACCTTCTACTTATACAAAGAAGAGAGGGGGAGAGCAAGACTTGTATCAACATGACAATTTTCCATCATTAAGACTAATGACAGGCACAGACTGTGGGGATCAAGGGGAGCACAAAAAAGAGAGCTGCATTCAGGTGTTGGCTGAGTGCTGACCTCCTTCCTGTCTTTGTTGGAGACTTAACTCTTAACAGGAAAAAAAAAAAAAAAAAAACTAAAAAGGGTTTCAGACTAAAGGCGCAGTGGCAGCTGAACGTCAAGCAGCCGCTCTCTCCATGGGCAAATGACTTAATTGCCGAATTTGCATGTTTTCCATTTGCTGGGGAATTAATTCAATAAGACCTACATGTAAAGATGTTTAATCAATCATTGTTTTGGTGTAATAATTCCAACATTATTCCAGCAGTTACGTCACTCCGCCAAACGTTATCCCCGCTTCTCACTTATCTATAAATGCATTTCCTGCCTGAGGCGCAGATCTTCCCTCCTAACAGGTGGGATGCTGCGACATGCAGCAAGTATGAGGCATCGCCGTGACACTAGTTTCTTTTACAGTTTAGCTGAATTAAGTAAAAGCCATATTTTTCCAAGTCCTTTCTCCTCAGCCTTCACTCAGGTAATTGGTCATTTTGCAGCCAATTTTGGGCAGCTTGGATGCTTGCTGCCATGGCCTGACCCCTGCTGCTGCTGTAATGGGGACAGCATTTCCACCAGTTCACCGGGGGCTTTTTCCACACCGCGACCCCCTTGCCTTCTGGAGAGGAGAGCGCCTCTGAACGCTGAAATGGAAAGAGAGAGAGGGAGAGAGAGAGAGAGAGAGAGAGAGAGAGAGAGAGAGAGAGTAGCTGAAAAGTGGCTTTGAAGTTTCACCATGGTGTCTGTCACTGTGTAGTGGGTTAATCAGGAGGGTTAATCGAGATTATTTGTGTTTGCAAAAGAGGATTTTGCTGTTAGGGATATTAGATGTGAACAGGACTTTAAATATTATTTGCATAAAAACAATCTGAAAATATAAGTTAACGTGTGGGCAAAAAAAAAAAAAGATGCTTCTGCTTGATCTTTCATCAAATAGGTGCAACTCTCAAGTAATTGGTTGTGAGAACAACAAGCACAAAGTGATGTGAAGCGGGATCCTGGTGTCACCAGTGCCTAAAAACAAACAAAAATAGCATTAATATTCATCAAATATAAATCTTATGCTTCAATAAAGTTTAAAAGTTGTTTTTTTTAACAACAGGAGAAGAAATTGTTGAACAATATTCCCGCTAGTCTTCTTTAGACAACTTTATACCAAGTGGCGTTTTTTAAGATTAGCTGATGTTGCTATTAGAATCAAATTACACCATTTCTAATTGGATCTGAATGTGACTATGTGCCTGGATTATTCTGAATTAATCTGAGCAGAAGCTTTCATACGTCTGCATATGAATTGGACATGTTTATAAAGTGTCTTGAGATGACAGCTGCTGTAAAATAATTTGTGTAGAAATGAATTGAAGAGAATTTAAATTCATTTTGGCTGCTAGAAGGAAGGTGATATTTCCCCATGTCTATGTTTTTATGTGAAATGAGGTTTTCCTTTATTTCCATTTGGATATAAATTCCAGTACAGTAAGAAGAAAAATGATAGAGAATACACTTGAAATAAATGTAATGTATAACTTTACATTTGTGCAAATAGAAATAGCTGATTGCACCATTACATTGCAATATATTATAATTAAAGAGGATTTATAATTATAAATAGAAAATTAGTAAACCTTCAAAAATACAAATGACTATGCATAACATCACATAACATTATTATTACCATTATTATGTAAAATATAATTTCTGTATTTTTACAAAAGCATTTTAACCAATGTAACAATCTTATTCCTCAGTTTCTATATTCATTTTTCTTCCTGTTTACGTATAACCCATCAAACAAAATCAATCCACATTTTGACGCCGCATTGAACGTGAAAATAGACCCAGAATCGAGTTAATTGTGCTGCATCTAGTTTGCGCTAACTGACGGCCGCAAATTACAGGATGGCACGGAGAAGCAGCGGCGGAGACGGCGCAGAACAAAAGACAATTTTTCACTTGTTTGATCGACTGCTTTAAAAAAAACAAAAATAAAATAAAAAATAATAATAAACCTGAAACGCGACCTTCACGGTTTTGACATTTTCTGCTGGTACATGCTCACCAAATGTGCTTGGATATGTGGCTGAGCTGATGTCCGTAATTCCATAAGTCATTTTATTTGGTGGGATTTTTTTTACTTATTTATGTTTGTTATTTAAGGACGTTATGCTGCTTGACATTTCTGAGGCGAATTAAACGTATGATGGTGTGAATAGATTAAATTAAATAATAAAATACGTAAATTTGATCATAAGTTCGAATTAAAATTTAATTTTCTTATTTACAAAAAATAAAATAAAAATAAACATCTAATTTTGTTGCCCTTCACCTGCAGTGACAGTAATTAATTGTCGCTCAGACGCAGACGCTGCAGGGTGCGTAAAAGGTTGCGCCTTTACGCACCAGTTTGGCACGGTCCTCCATCCGGGATAACATTTGGTGGATAAGTGGGGAAGCTGAGGTGAGCCTGCTATCACCGGACTGAAATAAAGTCGGTGACATGTTGGCCGTTTAGCCCCGCCACCCCCCGTCCTGCACCACCTCTCCCCGTCTGTCTCTCCACCTCTGCACTAACCCCTCAGGTGAAGAGCAGCAGGTGTTAAAACACCCTCAGCCACAGAGCTACTCACTCCTAATGAGTCCTGCCTCCGCGCTCCATCCATCCGTGCATGAAGGACTTTATTTTTAGTGCGGCTAGTTAAGAGTCCCGCTGCAGGAAGCGTTGCTGTGGCCTGCGCTGCCCTCCTGCCGGCGAGTCAAATTATTAATGACAGTGCGGTAATATTATCACATGTCTGCCTCATCCTAATGGCGCTTTAGGAGGCTTGAGAAAATCCATCTAGTATTAGATTATTACTTTGGGTTACTGGAAACCTTTTTGCAAAAAAAAAAAAAATGAAATAAGTGTTTTCTAGCTCCAAATTGCATCACATAAACATCTCTCATTTAGGAGTACACTTGTGCTATTATTTTACATGTTTCCTCCAAATTCTGCCTCAATTCTGCTAATGGTTTTGCTCACAGTCGTCTGTAGATACTATAATCGTGGGAAAAATAATGACAGTTATCAGTCGCACCCACCAAGTACCCATAAAAAATCTGTCCTCTGTTCTGGAAGATGATAATTATCGGTTGTACCACCATTATCATTGTCGTTGTTGATGGAGGAAATCTTGAGGCATTTTTCGAAAGTAATTCCAGGAGAAATCACTTCAAATTGGCCTATTTTAAGAGAGAGGGGGGTTTGGGGGACAACAGGACCAAGCCTTTGGTTATAGCCTAATATTTCACAGAAATCTTTAAATCCCAAGCATCCGCAGGCATTCTGGCACATTGTGGCGCACACACACACACACGCGCGCGTGTTGTGATGTCAGCCGCCTGCATTTTTTGACAACACATTCTGCAACTTACTCGTTCTGTTTGCAGTTCAATTATGCAATTACGCTGATAATCGCAGTGAGGGAATTTAACTGCCTTTAATTTGTTATTCAGGTGGAGATGATGGAGGGACCGCGGATGGAGGAGCGGGGCTGCGCCTCTGCTCTGCGCAGACTGCGGCGGCGGAGGAGCTGCGATCTGCAGATGAATCCCGGGGAAATGAAGATCTGCTGGAGACTTTGCTCCGCTTTCATCCTGAGGAGGATCTCTGACCTCGGGTGGCGCACATCTGGTTGTTTTTTTTTTTTTCTTTCTGCGTCACGTGATTTTTTTTCTTTTTTCTTTCTTTCTTTTTTTTTTTTTTTTTTTACAAAGTAAGTGGACATTCTTTGACTTTATCAGCTGATTAATACCAGGGGCGTTGATAGAAATCAAATCGAGGGGCAGACCCAGTTTTATGTATACAGTCTTTCTGACTGGGAGAAACGATCCCATTTTGCAGTGGCTCAGCCAGAGGTTTGACCTGAATCCGACAGGGAATCTGTGGATGGAGTTAAAGATTAGGGCGATGGCAGGGAGGCCTTCCAACCTCTGGTCAGCAATTATAACAAGGGTTTGATTGCTGCAGTCTGAAAATGAAGATTTGTCTTTTTCACTGATTATTTAGAAGGGAGTACATAATTCCCAATGTTTTTTTAATGAAATGTAAATATGCTTTTTTAAATTTTATTTTAGAAAAATGTTTTTATTATATTTATCCATTTTCTAGCTTAAAAAAATATTAGTTGAATGAAAAATAAATTTAAATGCATATCTGACGTGGGCATGAATACTTTTGAGCTTCGCTGCATTAAAATTTGACGTGGATCTGAAATTTATTTACATCAGATCTTGTAACTTAGGAAACTTTACGTCCAGTATCCTTTTCCTTCCAAGCAGCTAGACCTCCCATGTTTTGAAATAAATCTTTAAGGACTTTTTTCTTTTTTTTAATGTTCTGTTTTTTCTTTGTTGTTGTTGTTGTTGAAATTTAATAGAGGAAATAAGATAGAAGATTTAACATCAAACCTGTGTCCAGATCGCATGACTGCCAGTGTATCATCATTAAATTATGTAAATTTGCTGCTTCGTTTATTTTTATTTTTTTTTAAATGTAATGGTTAAAACGAGACAAACAGAAAGTGAGAGATGCTAACTTGAAAATGAACCTCTTAGAAAACATCTGCATGCATCAAAAAATAAACCTAGATCACATAAAGTATGCACAGGGAGAGAGAGAGAGAGATAAATAAAAAAAAAGCTGCTTTAAAATATTGGATTAGTTTAATTGCATGTGGCAGATTATTTCAAACTGTTGTGATATTTTTTTGCAAACGTTTTAGGTGTCATGCACCATCACTAGGCCCATACCTGAGCCTGCAAATCCTCGTCCTTCTGCTGCAGGTGTAACTGACACCTCAGGTTGCTCTCCGTGTTAAATACATGACTAATTACAGACCTACTTATGAAAATTGAACGCCAGTGTTATGCTAATATACGCCGTCCTCCTGATGGCACATTAGGAGCTTTAATCAAAAAGTGCTTTAATCAGACTGGCCAGCAGACAAAGCAGCTGTGACTGGGAGGAGAATGTTGTTTAACTCCACTGTAGATGCCACCTTTAATACTTGTATTACCATCATAAAATAGGCGCGCTGTTTGTTAAAAAAGAAAATCACATCTTTATATATGTCTATTAAAAAAAAAAAAGATCTAAGGTTTTGTGGTTTTTCCTTGACTTTGTCAGGTTCCTCGGACCCCAGCCCCAGCCTCACCAATCGGCTTCTCGCTCGCACAGAGTGGACCAATCAGCGACAGCCTTTGATGAATATTCATGAGTCCGAGATTCAAACCTTTGAGCGAGTTTGTCTCGGTCCACAGCATCACTCCCAGGACTTTTTCACAGGCGCAAACTGCATTTTCTTATGAATGGAAGGAGAAAAAATCAGGCCGGCTTAAATTGGGACCCGTCCTTTCGCTGAGATCACAGAAGGAGGAAAACAACAAAAGCGCAGAGGAGACAGGAGGGAACCGCCAGAAGAGATGACAATGACCACGATTCCAGAAGGTCTTAATAGCCCTGCTTCAGGAAAAGCCGTTTTCATGGAGTTTGGACCCCCGAGTCAACAAATGTCTCCTTCCTCCATGTCTCACGGACACTATCCCATGCACTGTTTACATTCTGCAGGTCACACGCAGCACGACAGCTACAGCCCAGCCTCGTCGTTCCCCAGATCTCTGGGTTATCCGTACGTAAACTCCGTCGGCAGCCATCCCACAAGTCCATACCTGAGTACAGTACAGACTTACCAGAACAGCTCGGGGCTCACACAGACGCGACTGGAGGACCCAGGTAAGCGTGCAGCGGCATCTCTTCCCCCACCCCCCCACCTCATTTAATGGCGCCTTTCTCTGCTTGTTGGATTTTTCTGCACTGACAGCGCGGAACAGATACCCCAGATGTGGAATTAGACTCTCTAATTATTTATTGCGTAACGCTATAAACAATGTATGCAATTAAGGGTAATTATACCTAAAGTACAGCCTGTAAAACTTGTGCTTCAAGTGTTCGCTGTTGCATAGCGGTGCTGGTCGCAGCTGCCTCCTCATCTTGTTTCTCCCCGACACGTCTCCCTTTGTTTTTCCACCAGCGGCACCAGAAGCGGAGAAGAACACAGTAGTGGAAGGCGGGGAGGTGCGATTTAACGGCAAGGGGAAAAAGATTAGAAAACCAAGGACTATATACTCCAGTTTACAGCTCCAAGCGCTCAACAGGAGATTTCAACAAACGCAATACTTGGCGTTGCCGGAGAGGGCTGAGCTGGCGGCGTCGCTGGGTCTCACTCAGACACAGGCAAGTAAAAAAAAAAAAAAATTATCAAATACCTACACACTGTCATTATTATTATTATTATTATTATTATTATTATTATTATTATTATTATTATTATTATTATTATTAATGTTTTAACTGCATGTAAATTGTGCGTAAAACTCCTTTTTTTTCTTTCTTTTTTTTGTTGCTTTCTAATCTTGCCATGTCCTTTGTCCCCCCCACCCCCCCCTCCCAGGTAAAAATTTGGTTTCAGAATAAACGTTCCAAATTCAAGAAGCTAATGAAGCAAGGCGGCAGCACAATCGACACCAACGTTTTAGCCACCGGTCGTGGACTTTCCACCGGCTCGCCCACCGTGGCACCGGTCTGGACGTCGCCGACCACCGTGAAGACGTCGGTGGGCACGACCGGCTCTTACATCCCCAGCTACACCTCGTGGTACCCGACCACACACCAAGAGTCTATGCAACAGTCACAGCTCATGTGAGCCGATGCTCCAGCGTCAAGGACGGTGACGGACCCCGCAGCCGCCGGAGCGCGGCCTCGGCATTGATGATTAAAAAAAAATCAAAACAAAAAACAAAACAAAACAAAAAAAAAAATAGCTGCCGCATCCCGCGAGCTGACACGGAGGCCTTCTCGTGCCAGCTAGCAGTGAAGAGGGAGGGAGAAGCAAAAAGAGAGGGGTGGGACGCTGAGAGAGCGAAAAGGCGCACAATGTACCCACGCAGGGCAGCAAGTCCGTGGCAGCGGGAATCAAAACGACAAAAAAAAAGGATAAACATTTTTCTTTATTTTTTTCCTTTGGCTGCTGTTGTTTACGTTTCTTTTATTTTTCTTAAACTCGAATTGGTGTGAAGAATTCTGTTGTTGAGCTGTCTGTTTATGAGAAAAGCCTCTTTTTTTTCTTTTTTTTTTTTTGTTTACGCCAGATGACGACCTAAAACCATGCATTAACACCTGAGGGCCAATCAGGCCTCAGCAGTGAAGGCTTTAAACCAAATAACCGATCCCAGACTCCACCGGTCAGGCCCCCAGCTTACAGCATAACACAACCACAGTAAATCCTCACGTCGCTGTGTTGTTTTCTATGTGTTTGTTATTTAAGTTAAATTATTCAGACTTGTCTGTGTTCATTCTGTGTGCGTGTTTGAGATGACAACACTGTGTTGTTGAAATGCTGCACTAACGCAAGCAGAGCTTTTTTTTTTTGTTTTTTTTTTTGTTTTTTTCTATGCCGTGCCCCGATGTTATGTGAAGAAAATGTAAAAGGACAGCCGATTCGCTGCTTTTGAGAGAGAGAGAAAAAAAATATCCAGAGGATGAGCAGCTATAACTTGTCACTGTATTTTGTGTATAATTTTCAGATACATTTTTTAATTTTATTTTATTTTTTTATTTTAATTATTATTTGTGCTGTTACTGGATACGCTGTGAAACAGGGTTTTAGGCTTTTTTTGTGTATATTACTCGTCGACATGTGTTTTAGTCACCATAGAGGATATTTAGTTTTGTATTGATCACTTAATTTATTTATCTGTTTCTGGAGTTTTTTATGTACATAAAAGTGAAAAAGTTTCAAAAGCAGTAAAATATGATTTAAATTATGTTTAAGCACGGTGTCTGATTCAACCCCTCTCTTCCTGTGCACCACCTCTTCTTCCTCCCCCTCCTCTTCCTCCTCCTCTTTTTTTACAGCGCCGTGCAGCTTTAATGCGAGCTGACACAAAGCAGGATCATGTTGGCTGTTGTAGCAGACACCATGTGAGCCGCAAAAAAAAAGGCGCCCCGTTTAGATTATGGCCATGTTTAACAATCGGCCCTACATGCCTTTGTCCAGCTTCTGCTCAGTGAATGCAGATGTGATAAAACATTTGGAAAGAACTACAAATTAGAAATGCAGATTCACTTCTAAAAATTATTGCGTCCATTCGTGACCACTGAAACATATTTACTTACACATTAATCTGTAATCTGTGAATTTAAAACCAGAGCCATATATATTTTTAGTTTTTGCCACGATAGAGATTATTTATGTTACAGATCTGTAAAGGGTTCAAACAGTGTGAAAATGCTATTTGGTAAAAGCACAACAACTTAAACAGTAAAGATCGACTGGACGGCATACAAATATTTGAACTACGGTTCAAGTTTGCATGCATTTATTTTTTTTTTTTTCTTGTGATGCCACAAAAATACCTGCACTCTATCTTAAAATTAAAAAGGAAAACAAACAAGCAAACAACATTCTAGTGAAATTAAATGTTATGGTTTTATAAAACAGGAAAAAGCTTTTAAAAAAACAAAACAAAAAAAACCACATAAGCATCGCATGAAATGCATTGATGTAAAAGAGCAACGCATATTAAAATAATACAAAACAATTTACTCGGAGGGCAGAATGGAAAGAAAAAGGAAATGCAATGCTCGTTTTCGTGTTTTCATATGTGCAAGAGAAACATTGATCAACTGAAGCTTTTAAATCGTCTCCTTTTTATATTTATATAATTAGAAATAATTTGTTGGAGAGATGCTTTACTAAAAATATTACTATTATTATTATTATTATTATTATTATTATTATTATTATTATTATTATTATTATTATTAGCAGCAGCAGCTTTAGAGAAATAATTTTTTAAGAAGCTCTGGCCTTGTTTATTACTCCTTATATTCTGCTTTCTTTTGTTATTTTAAGAACTTGAGGAACATATAGTCTTTTGTGAACAGCACATCACGTCTACAGGCCTATTGAAGATATACCACTAAGGAAGCAGGAGCACTGTGGCATAAAATATGCCTACCTACTCCCAGAAAAGGCGCAGCTGCACACCCAAGAGGGTCAGTGTTATTTCGCTGTATTCTCCCCTTGATTATACGAGTTGAGCCCATCAAACCCGGTATAATTACAGTAATTTCGCCCTTATTTATTCTAATGCAGTTTCCTATCTCTGAGGTAATTATGAGCAATTTTTTTCGCACCGAGGATCTTTCTGCCTTAACAAAAGAGAATGTGCTCTGAAGGAAATTTTCTGCTGCTAAAGAAAAAAGAAAAAAGAAAAAAAAAGCGAAATAGGTGAGCTGCCATTTTGTCACTGTTCCCTTAGACTAAGCCCAATGTGTAGCTATAAGACTGACAAATTGCTTGCAGGTGTACATCACCGAGTTGTCAATGCGGAGAGGCTTCAGAAATTAGCTAGGCACAATGTCAGAGTAACGAGTTTACTTCGCTTTGCTTGCCTCGGTTTTTAAAGCATGGGTGGGGGAAAAAACATATGAAGATTTTATTTTTACTAGGGGTTTACCAAACTGAAGAAGTGAATTAATATTCTTTTTTTTTTTTTTTTAAATAAGTTGTATACTCACTTCAGAAAATTAGACGGAAAAAAAATATAAATCCACTTTGTTTTCTTTAATTTTTTATTATTATTTTATTTTTATTAGTAAAATGCAATCTGACTTTTAAGGTTAAAGCTTAACGATTAAACATCAAGCACCCACCTTTCGGTTTGAATCTTGAACTCCCTTCCCTGGAGCTTCAGGAATCAGCCTGGATGCAGATGAGCGAAAAGCTTCCCCGCAGCACAGGCTCCACATCAGCGCTCTAAATCCCCACAAAATGCCTTCCATGTGTCGGTCCAATGCTATAGCTGCAGAGTTCAGAAAATGACTGAAAATCTCTGCTTTATTTCCCCTTTTTATAGGCGACGAGGGGGGAAAAAATTGTAGATTATTAGCATAAATGTTTACTCCTCATTACGCTGATGACATTGTGCACTCGAGATCTTGGTAATCTTTGGGGGAAATTATGAGTAATTTTTTTAAAATTTAAAGCAGCAGTTACCATGCAATTCAGGCTAATTCCGCGTAGGCTCCACACGGATATAATTATCGTTGAGTCAAGATGTTAGGCTAAAAACTATGCATTGATATTCCCATTTATTATGTACATACAACTTTGACAATGTTGATGCTTGAAATAGCGGGAAATTGTCTTGTGTAAAAAATTACACCCCATATTAGGACATCTAAAATTGCGAAGAATTATATAGTAATTGCAGGCTTTCAGATTTGAAAGCCGGAATGCTCCAACCAGAGCAAATGTGGATGAAATTACAGATCAGGGTTTAAATGGGGATAGGGGGGTTTGTGGCATTTACAAGTTTCCCAGAGAAACGCAAAACTATGAACCACAACAGCTTTAAATGGCACTGAGAAACAGAAAAAAAATGTGTCGTTTCACGCTGCAAATAAACTGATCATGAAAATCTGTCATACGTCTGGGCTACATACATCAGCTGACAGTTTACAGAATAAATTAAAGATATAGAATGTATTCAGCATGTTCATACATGTGTTAGGACACAACACAGGCTGGCTGCACGCCTGGAGGCCTGTCAGATACTGTCAGCTCCCCAGGAGGTGGAGGGCAGGGATGGAGGTTGGGGGTCTCCATCAGATATAACAACTGACATGCTGCAGTCCTCATTATGTACAAGGAAAAGATCCCACTTTATGGCCTCCAGTCGGCTAAAGGTAATAATTTGATCATTTTAATCCCACCTGACTAACACATACTCCACTGAGAAGTGAAAAATCAATGACATTGACTGCAATTTGCATACATTTTACTTAAATAGATTTAAATGATCTAAATGATCTAACTAGAAAAATATAAATGAATTAATAAATATTTACATTTACTAAACCAAATTAGTTAAACTGCAATAATTTTTGCTCGTCTGGAATAAGAACTGGTTTGTGATTGTGGCTGAAATAGCAGAAAGTCAAAAACAGAACCAAAAAATTTGTAATTTCTTTTTAAACAGGTAGGATGCTAAACTTCTTCCTGAACACAACTGCAGGTGTTCATTAGCAATTTTTCAGCTTAACGGGGAAACCATAGCCATAGCAATAACACTTCAAAATTAGCTTACGCTGGATACACAGTTTTAAAATCAAAGTCTAATGAAGTGACATGGGAACATTTGTGTCTTTCACTGACAACTTTACCTCAAGGTTAACAAGCTCAGCTTGCTTGGAGGACTGACTGTAGCATTAGCGCTGTTGTCAAACAAATAAATGCATAGTTTTTTTAAAAAAAAAATGCATTTCTGAAATCTATTCTAATAAAATGTCATGTAGCCTTTTTCTCTGATAATTATGACTAAGATATGATGTTAGCTGATGTCACGTGTGTCAGGATTAATAAGTGAAGTTTGCTAGCAAGTGTGACTTTAGCATTAGCACAGTTGCAAAGCCAAAGCTGAAATTACACTTACATATCTGCTTCTCTGCTTCAGCACAGAAACTTTCTCAAGGACAGGTTTTATCACAGTTCTCAACTTTTAGTAACCAGATATAGTAATCCTGTTAAAAATCCATCAAATGCTAGCTGTTAGCATTACAGTTTTCTACTGGAAACCACATTGACTGACTGAATGCCTTCAGTTAATTTTTGTTGCCGCCCCAAAATTTAGCAGTCTAAATATTAGGATTACTTCATTTTCAAACTTGATAAGTTTCAAATGATTTTAATGAATATTACTCAATGCTAATTCTTTTTACAGTGCACCGCACCAGCTGGAGTTACAGCAGCTCATTTAATAGTCTCAAAAATCGAAATAATATGTTCAATATATAAAATATCTTTGGTGCGTGTTGCTTCAGTTCCAAGACGTGTGTCTGTGTTCTCTTCAATCTACATGAATAATGTGGGTCAACTTGCTCGTCCTCAGAGATCAGAGGCTTGTTGTGAGACGTGAGAAGTGTTTGCCTGATGGTCTAGTTAAGCTCCAGGCTGTCTTGGATCTTGTTCCTGTCTCCTTTTCTCTTGCAAGGCTGAGTTTATAAAATGTCTGGGGGGAGAGAAAAAAAAAGTCTCCCTGACTCCACAGAGTCTGAGGAACTTGTCTTCTTTTTTTGCCCTCCCTCATCTTTCCCCTCTGGCATGCCAGAAGCTTGCTGTACTACTCATGCTTCTGCTTTCTGCTCTTCTAAACAACTGGTAATGGAAAATACCAAGCACATACATTTCAAGAATCCCCATAAATTCTGCCAACAAGGGTGGTGTTTTTTTTTTTTTTGATAAGGAACATATTGCTATCTGCCCTGGGCAGCATTACCCGGGGGGAAACCAGACAGAAAAAAATTTCTGTCTGTTAATCCGCAAAGTAACTTTGTATTGCTTGTTGCAAACAATCAAGTGGGGGATTTTTTTTGCTGTACAGGCAATGTAAGTACACTGCGGCTAGCTGACGACACTGAAGTTGGTGACGGATTTGCAGCTTACAAGCCAGCATTTATTTATTTACTTATTTTAAAACTCTCCGACTGCTCAAACCTTTCCTTAAGAGGAACTTGAGATTAATGGAACCTTTATTCTGTTTGAGAAATGCAAAAAAGAACATTTTGAAAGGTTTTGGGCATAAGGACCACAAAATGTGGTCAGCCAAGTCAAGGTCAATGCTAATTAACCGATAAAAAAATTGTTACATTTCTGACAAGTTACAGAATAAATAAATATAAGAACATAAACGTTTTTTGAAGAAGGTTTTTTTGGTCTTTGTAGTTGTGGGTGTGTTGACAGCAGAATGGGGGTAGTCTACAGAGGATTGGGACTTACTAAGAGCAACTTTCAAGGAAGACTCACCTCTGCCTACCAGTGCCATAAAGGTCAAATATGTACAAATAATTACAAAAACAATCCAACAGAATTGCTTAACACATAATGGATAACTGCTATGTTAGCTACTTCAAAGGTTTGCTAACTTAACCCCAACCACCCAAGCTAATCAATCGTCATAGTTGGTTAGCAATCCAAGTTAATTAATCCTGCAGAGCTTATATAAGGTGGCTATTTGCATGAAAGCTAATGGTAGCATGATGGCATAACTACTAAGTTTCTAACATTGTTGACTAACCAAGAAGTTTCCACATTTCTTGTAGTAATGTGAACTAAATTGACCTTTTAGCTTTAATATTGTTTAAAAAGCATAGCAGGTGTTAAAGAAAAACCAGGTTTAATTTTGCTTTCTAATTTATAGAATATAAGCTATATAAACCATTGTTTCTGTATTAAATGCCACCAGTACATATAATCGGCATTATATTAATTAGCCTTAACGTTTTATCGCTTATGCCAAATTACCCAAGACAACCAATGGTTACTGTTGCTTAGCAACCTAAGCTCTACAACGGAGAGGAAGAGCAAACACTTAGCACCAAGATACATTTTGCAAGTACCTAGATGTATTTGTATCTGTCTGGTTAAGGAGTTTCTACATTTTGTAGGTATTCTAGTTAAATATTGTTATATAAATAACAATTTTGCGCTTGAAACTCTTTGGAAAGGTGAACAAAGGTTGAATAATGACAGTCGACTGTCAGCTATGAGGTAGAAATAGTCCTAAGCTATTAATTATGTCAGCATCTGCAGATGTGTTTGCAGCTGTCTTGAAAAGGATTTTTAGCATTTTATGCTAATTATATAATTATTACTGCTAAAATAATTAAGGCGTTTCCTTTTAATTTGACTTTTAATGAGGATGTCAGTTGATATTTGAGAGTACTTTGATGATGTATCAAACTATTAGTATGTTTCTTATGATATATCCAACTAAATCTCTCCACAAAGAGTATTAATGTTTTTCTGCATGTTTCTGAACATTAAAATGCCACTAAATGAAGGATCTAATTTTTCATATTTAAAAAAATATATATATTTGAATTCCATTTTTTACAATAAAAAAATAACGAAATAGAGTTTTTTTTCTTTCTTTTTTTTTTTAAACAGACTCCTTGAAAAAAATGAATTATTAAATGAACCAACATAGTCTATGGCTAAGTAAAAAGCTGAATGCATGAGCACAGGAAACATTTTATTTAAATAACATCTGACCATATATGAAACACTGCTAAAATAAATAAGACCAAACCACAATAAAAATGGAATACAAGTAAATCAGGGGTGGAACAATCAGTAGCTTGTACGGTGATTAATGAATTTGCACCAACATCCTAAGGAAAAGAGTCAGAGCAACAAAGACTGTAAAAAAAAAAAGATGTGATAAAATAAGCTATTTACAAAGACCTTTACCATTCTTGTATATTTATATCACCTAAGCTATCTGAGGAGTGAATATGCTATTTTTCCCGCAGAACAAATTGAGGTCATATTGCAAAAGGCACAATACAGTTAGGATATAATTTTCGCTACATCTGTGACAGCCAGGTTGTCCTGATGTCAAAGTTTTCAGGTTTATTTTTCCAGAAAATGTAAAAAAAAAAAAAAAAGAAAAAAAAAGGGAAAAAAAGTGACGTCCGCGTAAAAGTAGGCTCGTAGCCGTGCTGTAAATGCTTTGGGTAATAGTGGTTCATTCATCCCTCACACAAAGAAAATAAATAAATACAAAAATAAGTGTAGAAATCTGTGTCCATCACATCACAAGCATCAAAATTAGTCCATGAACCTGTCTTGCTGCGTTAATTTCTGCTAGCTTCTGCGCGTAACGACGCACACGAGGTCTGTGAAATCAGGGTATTGGCATTTATTTATTGTCCGATTTAGAACCGATGCTTTTTGTTGTTGTTGTTGTTGTTGTTGTTGTTGTTGTTGTTGTTTTTATTTCAGAATATCGTCCCGGCGCTTATAGCTGAGTTGTGGTGATGCTGGACCAAAGGAGGCTGCAGATGCGTCGTAGAGTTCGTAGTTGAATACCAAGAGTAGTTTGCCAAAAACGACGAAGGCGCAGTCGTGTTGGGAGGGCTGCCGTTGCTCT